GAGAGAGAGAGAGAGAGAGAGAAATTTACACAAAATATTAGTTAATAATTTAACATTCAATAAATTACTTTCTAAAACAGGATTTTCCATTGAGATAATCGGTCGCAGGAAAACACTGCTATTTTTAGGCGCACCCTATACTGCGGGCTGGCTTTTGCTATGGTATGACGAGTTATAAAATAACAATTTTATAATGCGAAATTAAAATATGTTGATTTTCATTATTCATTAAAGTCTTGGTCGTCAGGTATGGCTACTTATATTAGGCCGAGTGGTGACAGGATTGTGTACTGGCGCCGTTTTAGGTAAATTATTAATTTACTTTTGCACAATTTATAATAACTATTATTAATAACTAACTAATTAGTTAAATATAATTTTATCATAATAATAACACATTAAACACCAGGAGCTGTGCCAACATTCGTGGCGGAGATCTCCCCTCCTAGTGTCCGGGGCCTATTTGGTATGACATTCAACGTAAGTGCAAAACAACCATGTTCACAAACACCATAATCAATTATCACTTTTACTTAACAGTTGGGCGGAACGGTAGGCATTTTGCTGATGAACATACTGAGCCTATGGGTGCCTTGGGAATACTTGGGCTACGGCGCTATCGTACCGTCAGTGCTACTATCGGGGGCCATGTTTTTTATACCGGAATCGCCCAATTGGCTCATGGTCAAATATGGCCGCTGCCTGCGTGTGGTCGAGGCTCTACACCAACTCCGGCACCGGGAGTCCGACATCGACGACGAGTTGGCCGAACTCGAGGCGCAGGTGACGGCACTGAAGGCCCAAAAGGACTCCGGGTTTAGCGCAAAGATGTTGCGCCGACAGGATGTCTACAAACCGCTAACCATAGGGTTATTGTTGTGTTTTTTTCAACAATTTTCGGGCACTAATGCCGTCCAGTTCTATATGACGGGTATCTTTGCGGACGCGGGCTCGTCGTTACGGCCCGAGTACGCCGTGATTGTGGTCAACACCAGTATGTTTGTCGCCACCCTTATTGGGTCGACACTCGTCGACCGGTTGGGCCGTAAGATACTGCTGATGGCGAGCGGCACCGGCCATACCGTCAGTCTGGCTGTGTTGGGCTACTATTACTACAAGAACAGAGATCTGGCGCATCCGGACTCGAGTCCGCTGCCCATAATATGTATGGCCGTATTTTTTGTCGCCTACTCTATCGGCTACAGTTCAGTCACGTGGATAGTGATCACCGAGATCTGTAACTCGTCGTACGTGGGCTTCATTACCAGCACGTGCTCTGTCTTCGTGTGGATTACTGCGTTTGTGGTGACCAAAGAGTTCGAGGACCTGATCCGATTGGTCCACAAATACGGCGCCTATTGGTTTTTCGCCGGCTTATGCCTATTGTCCACACTTTTTATTTTCTATTTGCCCGAAACGAAGGGTCAGTCCATCGAAGAGATTCAGCGCAAACTGTGTCCGAAGGTCTATAGGGATCGGTTGACTACAGCACCGGCTGGTGATCGCAAGGACCCGTCCGGTGACCGCTCGGCGTTTAAATATGAACGCGAATTAAGTAAATACGACGAGATTTCCAATATATAACACATTAATACTGATTAAATGATATTTGTATTGAATGCCAATTGTAATTATTAATATTTTAAGTTACTTTTTAAGTGAACATTCAATTAGTTTTGAAAATTTAGTTTAATTTATGAAGTTTTTGGTTAGTTTTAAATTATAATTAAAGTAGCGTAAATCGCATTGACCTAAGTGGTTGGCAAGGTCATCCATTTTTAGCACCCCTTCCACCAAGGTAAATTTCTTAATTATTAATAATACACTTTTAATGTTGTGTGTACCATGCATCACTACATTTAGGTAATTGATCGTTTTTTAAATATTAATTGGGATATACATTGTATATACAGTACATTGTATATTGTTTAATATAAATTATTAATTATTTTTATAAACATTAGAGAATAATACACTTCCCAAAGGTAGATGGGTATAATACGTAAAGTATAAAAAGTAAATCATGTAGGTCACTGTTAATTTACTGTGTACCATATATCAAGATATTTAGATAATTCTTCGGCTTTTAAATATTAATTGGAATATATATTGTTTAATAAGGTATAATGCGTGAATCAATAAGCTATATTTTGTGGCTAATATTTAAGCATGGTAAGTAATTTAACATTCTTATTATAGCAACAATACAATGCCATGCTTAAATATATCAATACGTATATATAATAGTGGTTTTGATGGGTAGTTGGCAATCTAGATATGGCATTAAATCAAACATAATAGTGTGTTAGATTAGGAACCGATATGAGGGTTGAGTGAAAAACATATAATATCCCGTATTTCCCTATTAAAGAGTCGTGTCTGTAGTTTACAGCGATAACAATGGGCCATAAAGTGTATGAATACCCAGATGTATATCGTGGCCAACCCGCGCACCAGTACGGCCATGAATAGGCTCCAAAAACCCCCATGTTCAATAAGTAAGGCAGTAAATAGTGCCAGTGAACAGTTGTAGGTATTTACCGACATTGCTTTTACAATTAATATCGATCATGTTTGAACGATAATCATCTAGATTCTTATCGTTTTTATAGGTGTAGTGAAAGTTTATCCGTGAAAACAATAGGCAAACAATGGCTGTTAACTCAACAAACCTTATCTGATATTTGAATACCCAGTAATAGCTGTAATCGCCGGATAGGATGGCAAAGTGCTCGTCGCATAAGTAAGTACAGGGAGACCACCGTTTTAAACACCTCTACACACATGAAACAGTAGTAAATTTCTATGAGATTTGATGTCCGGTCGGTATAATAGGCGTTGAATTTTGGGAAACCGTTTTTGTAGTTTTTCTCGCCGACTAAATAAATTAATTCGTCAATTGTACGCAATTTATTATCATTTTTATCCATTTTGTTTGTTTTGTTTTGTATTTAATTATTAAATTATTAATTATTTGAAAGTAATTATTATTTTGTTAATTTCAGTTAATTTCTGTATTTATTAGTTATTTACTTTAATTTTAAATGTATATTTTACCTTGTGATGTTTAAAATGGGGCAAAAAAGCGGGGGGGGGGAGAGATTAAAAAATGTTTAAACACATTCAATATTTTGTACTAGAATTTTATTAAAAAATCAAATTGCTTAACGGATAATAATAATATTTTTAAAATTTATTAAGAAAATTTAATATTAATTTAATCATTTATTGTGAATAATATTGTTAATATTGGATTTTATAGTATTTGATGCAGAGAGTTTGAGATAAGCAATTAATAAATCATCACTTAATCGATTGGTCGTATCATTCTTTCGGGCTTTCATTAAGGAAAACAATTGTTCGAACAAAAGTATGTTATTATTGACAATGAATTGTTGACTAATTTTGCGTAAACATATTGGGATTTCATTTCTCGATAAAATTCAATGATAACGTCGTTGTAATTAAATAATTCAGTGAAAAATTCATTATTTTGAATTAATTGTAACTATTAATTTACTATAAATTTAAGACACCATCTGTTCAACAATTCAATCGATGACCAAATCAAATGAACTACACGTTTATAGCAAGAAGTGGGCGGAAAAGCCAAACATAAAAGACATTTCACAACAGCCAGTGATGTACACCTCAACCAAGAGCTGGACATTTGCCGTACAGCCAAACGGTTACCTCACATAAGGTTCAGACATTGACACCAAAAGCGGTGACACTATCAGTATGTTTAGTCTGGAGATCTTCAGGTCATCCGTGTCTATTTGGATGAAGTGTACGGTTGACCAGTCGTCGGGCGGCAAACCTATCGCTACATGTGTTGAACCGGACGTTACGGTCCTAACGAACCCGCAGTTCTCGGTGTCGGCCAACGCATTGGTGTTCCGACTGACGCCCAAAGACACGCTAAACATGCATAACATCGATGTCGTGGAAAGGGATGACCGGCGCCAGAGTTACTCCTATTCGCATAAGTACTTCACCAAAACGGCGAACGTGTC